GCTCTACTTGAGATGCACCTGTGGATACACGATAAGGTCCGGTTAGCCCTGCCGACCGTGACCTCGCATTGTTGGCCCATGTTCATCTTGGAATCAATGATGACTCCAAGATCCCTTTCTGCCTCCATGCTCTCAAGAAGAGAGTTTCCCATCTTATAAGTGTGCTGCCGGTTACTACTGCCCAAGTGCAGCACCCTGCACTTGTCAGTATTGAAACACATCCTGTTTTTGTTAGCCCACCCCTGCAACCTATCCAGGTCTTGCTGCAGTCTTTCCCTCCCTACTAGTGTGACCACCTCACCCCAAATTTTGGTATCATCAGCAAATTTAAACAGGATGATTTTTCACCCCATCGTCCAAATTGCTGATAAAGAAATTGAACAGCACGGGCCCAAGGACCGATCCCTGGGGGACTCCGCTGCCCACTTCCCCCCAGGTCGAATATGACCCGTCCACCACCACCCTCTGAGTATGACCCTTCAGCCAATTTGCAATCCATCTGACCGTGTAGGCATCGATGCCACAGTCACCTAGTTTTTTAATGAGGATGGGGTGGTCAACAGTGTCAAAGTCCTTGCTGAAGTCCAGAAAGACTACATCCACGGCGACACCTGCATCCAATGCTTTTGTGACCTGATCGTAAAAGGCAATCAGGTTGGTGTGACATGATCTGCCCCTAATGAAACCATGCTGGTTGCCCTTGAGCATCATCCCCGATGCCGGCCCATCACAGATGTGCTCCTTGATGATCTTCTCAAAGTGTTTCTATGAGTATGCCAGCAGGTAGATCAGGGAAAGTGTGGATCACTTACTGAATGGGGGAGGCAACCATGTGAGAAATGTGGAAAAGGCTGAAGTACCCAATGGGCGTGTCTAAACATGCATTTACACCAGCTTAAATTTGCCGTGCAGTAAATTACTGTGCGGTAAGCAGGAATATGCCAGCGTCTACACGTGCAGATGACCTGGAACTAAATTTAGTCCCAGGTTAGAGCAGCCTAGATGTGCCTATGTGGCCACAGGTGGAGCTCCAGCCTCCGGCCACATGGCTGCTAACACTTGGGACTAACTTTAGTCTCAAGTTGAAGCCAGGAGAGGCAGCCAGCCAGGAGACCTAGGGCTGGGCTCAGGCCAGCTCTCTAGTGACTGGGAAGACCCATCAGGGAGGCCGTCTGGGTTACTGCGCAGTAATGAATCTACACGTGCATTACTGCACAGTAACTAATTGGGTGTAAATTTGATACCTGCATCATGCAGATTTCAAATGGGTGTACATGATGCAGGTATCAAATTTACATTTGAATCTGTGTAAGTACACTCCAGGGCAGAGCAGGACAAGCAGCGGTAAATAGATCTCTGCGGCTGCTTTGCTCCCTGTTGTGCCAAGTTACAGGGGAGGGAAGCAGGGTGACAGGGAACAGTGGAGAGCAGCTTCTCAGTGCAGGCCTGTTGTTCCTTGCCACCCTGCTTCCCTCCCCCGTGACCCAGTGTGGCAGAGATCAGAGGAGCTGTGCAGGGATCTCCTTGCCGCTGCTTGCCCACGCTGCCCTGGTGATGCATCTCCTGCACGCAGGGCTGCAGTGAGGGCAGTGGCGCAGGACTGTGCCCGTCAGAGCAGTGGTAGGTGCAAGGGGCACATCACCAGGGCAGTGTGGGGTGAGGGGGACAGCTCGCAGCGGCGAGGAGATCTCCGCGTGGTCCCACTGTCCCCAGCCGCGCTGGGTCATGCCTGCAGGGCTGTGGAGGTCCTGGGGCAGGGAAGCAGGAAGGGAGCCCATGCTCGCAGCCTACACCTGCCCTATGCACAGATCTGGGGTGCAAGGGTCCCCTCTGCCCCCCAGAAGTGTGTGCGGCAGTGGGAAGCTGCCCTGCCTGAGGCCGCAGCACGGGGGATTGGGGGCAGGGGGATGCGGACCCGGGTACGTAATGTCTGTTGACTGGGGAAAAAAGTTTCCCTAACTCCCCCATTTACATTAATTCTTATGGGGAAATTGGATTCACTTAACATCGTTTTGCTTAAAGTCGCATTTTTCAAGAACCTAACTATGACATTAATCAAGGAGGATATAGTGGTGTTTCATTTTAATTGCAGAAAACCCATATTTGGGGGTTTTAAAATCATAGAATTTGCATTTTTATCAGATCATTTGGAATTTTTAAACAAAGAAAACCAGAGCCCCAGCTTATGAGGAGAGATCAAGGGAGCTGGGTTTATTTAGTCTGGAGAAGAGAAGACTGAGAGGGGATTTGATAGCAGTCTTCAACTGCTGAAGTGCGGTTCAGTGAGATGGAGCTGGACTGGTCTCAATGGTGGCAGATACAGAGCAAGGAGCAATGGGCTCAAGTTGCAGCAAGGGAAGTTTAGGTTAGATACTAGGAAAAACTCTCTCAGTGAAGGTAGTAAAGCACTGGAACAGATTACCCAGAGCGGTGGTGAAATCTCCATCCTTAGAGGTTTTTAAGACCCGGTTAGACAAAGCCTGGGCTGGAATGATTTAACTGGAGATAGTTCTGCTTTGAGTGGCGGGTTGGACTAGACGATCTCCTGAGGTCCCTTCCAACCCTAATTTTCTATGATTCTGTGACAGGTTTAGAATTCAAAATGCTCTTGACAAATTGAAGAAATGGTTTGAAATAAGGTGTAGGTCAATAAGGACACAAGTGAAGTACTGTGCTTAGGTAGGAAGAACCTACTGCACAAAATACAAAATGGAGAACTATCAGTTAGACAGCAGTTATGCAGGACATTGGGACAACTCACTGAAATCAATACAGCCTTGCCAATTTACATCATCAGACAATATGGCCATACAAGGAGACACACTATCACACTGCACAAACTTTTATATTCAATGGAGTATACTCTGTATCTCTTAGAGAGCAATGTCATCTCACAACTGCTAACTTTATTTTATGTATCATTCTGTGAAAAGATTCAAAAGGGAATTACAGCCAAATAAGGTTGTACTAATAATCTGACTTTCTCCAGCAAAATATCTTATCTAATTGAGTTGATTCTTTTAACAGTAATTAACTTTTCTCTTTAAAGATTGATAATTTTATGTGAAAAGTTAAATGATTTAAAGTATATTACTGAAAGGCATATTTAATGTCAAAATGTTATTGCACTTTGTTGTTGAACAGGAAAATGTATCAGGATTACATTATCCAATATAACAACATTTTGAAGCAACACCAAGAAAAATATTCAGAAACAGCTCTTTCACAAGAATACTATATGAAAAAAAAGGATCTTGAAGAAATTGAAAATAGAGTTTTGAAACATTCTGAACAGTTTAAATTGAAAGAAGCTGCTCTTTTGGATATGCTAGGTACCAGTATTACCATATCAATAGCAGTAAAGTATGTTCTGCATTGCAAAATCAAAGCACTGCACAAACATTAACTCATTTTTCTTCTTTCTTTCTGTTGGACTGGTTAGTATAACTTATTTTCTTCATTTAGGAAAATGGGGTATAACAGTGGCAAAAACAGGATTTCAACTAAGGACATTGTTTATCTCTGCAAGCCATGCTTGGATTGGAATCAGCTTTGTCTTAGGTTCAGCATAAAGGGTTGTCAGAGTATAACACATTTGGGATGGATTTTTTTGCTGTTCTAATTTCTATTTGTTTTTCATACCATTGCTGGTACTGTTCTGTGTATCTGTACTATATGTTGCCATTTCTATAAAGATAAGAACTTTTCCAATCAATTAATTTACATTGCCATTGCAGAGAAAATGAGATTAGTGAATGAACAAACTAAAATGCAACTTTATGTTTTCAGAGCCTGCTCCTTTTCAGTCACTTTCTGATTGGGCCTTACAGATGTATCCATGACACTGTCATCAGTTTGTGGGGAGGAAAAAGTATACTGGGCTTGTTCACATTAGCCAAAACCATACTTGTCAGTAAATTGCAGATTAATGTTTCTAGATTCTTTTGGGAATTTTCCCCCAAGGGTTAATAACAGTAACGACATTAGGTAGATTTTCTTATGGGAGGGAGCCCTGAAGGATGAAGAACACCAAGGTTCATTTTCTGAAATTTTAATCAAAATGTTCCATTAGGGATAAGGAAAGAAAAGCAAAAAGCTTTGTTTCAAGAGATCCATTAGGGCTATATGGACCCATCAGAGCTTCCTGTATGTGTTACTATGGTTTGCAATGAGGGAGTAGATTTATTATTGGATGGGGTGGAATTCCATGGAAAATGGTATTTTTATATTGGGCCCACTGTGACCAAGGAACCCCTGTTAGCACAACTCTGGTGAAGTCAGAACTGCATACAAATGGCCCTAGTTTTTCCTTCATTCATCATATTTGTGACTAGATCTTACACACCAGGGGTGGGCAAAACGAGGCCCATGGACCAAATGTGGCCTGCCAGGCCATTCTACCTGGCCCGCGGGATCCCTAAAAATTTAGAAAATTAATATTTATCTGCCCCTGGTTGCCTGCCATGTGGCCCTCGATGGTTTTTACCAAAACTCAGTAAGCGGCCCTCCACACAAAATAATTGCCCGCCCCTGCCTTACACCCTTTTCTATAAGAAACAAACTTTGATCCCTCCACAGAGAATATGGGGAACTATCTGAAAAGCAATCTTCACTGAGTTTCCTTTGAAAATCTCCCTCCCATAGCTATTTAACATCAAGGAGTGCAGCTACATGTCACCCTATGCAGTGACATAGTGATCACATGAGTCTACATGTGATAGGCAGCTATGTTGCTGTGGCGGAGCTCTTCCCTGTTGTAGTGCACTGTTACAGCAACATAGCAGCGAAACCTAACCATGTGCCATGCACACGGCAGAGTAGGGGCAGTTACTGCACCATGCTTTAGTACTTCCAAAAGGAAGTACTAAAGCACAGCACTGTAGCAACATTGCCATAAAGTGACGTGTAGGCGCACCCAAAGGGCATAATCAAAGCCAGAGTTAAAGTCCTCATCAAATGACCCAAGAGGAGTTTTGCCCTCTGTATTGCTGTAGGTATAATTCAGAGCCTGTATGGATGGAAATATTTTCAATATAATATTCTCATAGATTTAATAGCTTAATATTTTCTACATAACATGCATATTCCTTAATGTGAGAGTGTTTCTTTGAGGCAAAAAACACAAGAGGTACTGAAGAACACTGCTGTTTTAACTCAGAAATCATTGAAACTAGAAAAAGAAGCA